ACAGCTTGTGTATCGGGCTGGTAAAACGAGCCATCTGGCTCTGATCTTTGTACTCAGGGGACAAGGACTTTATCCACTGGATCATCTCCAAGCCCAGAGCTTTCTTTTACTTAAGAAAAGTTGGCCATACTATACGGCTCACCTGTGGCGTCTCTTACAGGACTCCACCTTGGCGTATCGGACGTTTTGAGATGCGTCCCTTGCTCATCTGTCCTGTTTACCCTTGCAATTTCCAACCACCCCAGCTCTGCTCCCTGTCCTCATCTCTGTTATCTAAGTCACCCTTTTGTCCCTCCTCTCACTTAAAAAAATCATGTTCTGCTTCTTTTTTTAGCTAGAATGGAAGCTTTGTCTCTCTCAGGTGATGCTATCAGCACTGCAGATATATCCTGTACTCTTTTTATCTGAGCATCGCAGAATCTGATTCTGATTCTTCTGTTACAGCCAACAGTGCGCGCTTTAAAAAAATCAATGCTGAAGTTCTTTATCTGCATCTCAGCCTCTAGAATGACCGAATCTTTCATAACTAATGGAGATATTGAATTCAGACAGTTTTATGGGGAAAAATACATCGCAATTTGTGTGAAAAGCAAAAACGGGACTGCAATTAGATGCTGTACTATAGCTTAATTTAGATCCATTTGACATTGGTTTGCTAGAAATCGGTAGAGGGCTTAAAAATTAAAACTAACCTTTTGGTGAAAACATTAGTTTAATTTTTACACTGATGAGATTGGCTTATAGGATTCTGTCCTGTGTGTGTGTGGTGTGTGTGTTGTGTGTGTGTGTGTGTTTCTGTATTTGAAATAGCATCATCAATTTGACCTAAAGATTATTCATGTGGAAAAGAAAGTTGTCTCTTACTAACATTGGAACCCCTTCAATGTCTCAGTGAAAAATCATATAATGCTTCTCCTGTCTTTAGAGATTGTCTCATATAGCCCAAGATAGGCTCAAACTTCCTAAGTAACCAAGGATGACCTTGGACTTCTGACTTCCTTACTTCAACCTCCCAAGTGTTGAGATTACAGATGCGAGAGATTGCCACCCAGTTGATTCTGTTCTGGCCATGGTCCTCAGACTTTGAGAATGTTAGCGAGCACTCTACAACTGAGCCACAGCCCTAGCTCTGTTCTGGCCATGGTCCGCAGACTTTGAGAATGTTAGCGGACACTCTACAACTGAGCCACAGCCCTAGCTCCTGTTGTTTGTTTCCAGATTAAGAAAGATCACTGTTCTACCTGCAGAACTTGTCCCTCTGTGTTGCATGTGCTTCTGAACTGTGCAATTTTTGGAACTTTCATCAGACCCCACCTCTTCCAAATTCTACAAAAAAAAAGGCAACTGTATAGGATCCTTTTTTATAGTGAATCAGCAGATAAAAAGTGTTTTGTTTATGTTATTCTGATAAAGGATTAGGTTACTTATTATTATTTTAAAAACACAACATAAAATTTTCCATTTTAACCAGTTCTGCAGAAAATTGGCTTTAGTACACTTTCCTTTCACAAACACACTGTTAATACTTTTCCATGCATCCAGAATGGAATGTTCCAAGATGACAGGGTAAAGATTTTATTTCAATTTGTCCTGATGTCAGTATAAGTAACTGATTGGTAGAGCTCAGAAGCGCCCGCTCCAGAGTCAACAGGCAGGAGGATTCCCAACACTACTGGGCATTGAGAAGTGTTCTAAACATGCAAAGTACATTTGCATAGGAGAAATGAGCCTAATCTCAGACAAGCATTGGTGGAGCTGGAGATTTATTTTAAAAAGTATAGAAAATGGATCTCAAATGCATTGAATATGTTGGATGCTGTTAGAACTCAGGATTGGAGAGAAGAATGAGGCAGTGGGGGCCAGTTATGGAAGGGCATGTCTGAAGGCTGAGCCTGGGAACAGCCTGGGGGTATCTCAGGGAGTGTTATATAAATGTATGAATCTCTCTCTCTCTCTCTCTCTCTCTCTCTCTCTCTCTCTCTCTCTCTTTCTCTCCCCGTGTGTGTGTGTGTGTGTGCTTGTGCACATGGATGTGTGCGTTATGCCTGCATTTGTAGGCAGAGGCCAGAGGATGAGTTCTATTGTGCTTTTCTATCACTCTCTGCCTTTTTCCCTTAAGAACAGGGTCTGTTACCAGATCTGGAATTTTAATAGTGGCTACTAAACACAATCCTCCTGTCTCCCCTTCTTAATGGAGGTAACTGGCTAACTGGCTCATGTGATCACACCTGACTTTATATGTGGGTGCTGGCAAGTCCAACTCAAATCTTTAAGCTTGACCAGCAAGTTCTCTTACCCATTGAGCCATGTCTCCAGGATTCAGAGGGCCTTGTAAGTGGGAAGAACAGAATGATCAAAGCCCAGAGGCAAGGAGATATGTAAGTATTTTCAGTGTATGACGACATACTTCTAGAGTGTAATCCTATGTTTTCTTCATGGTCCTCAGGATAATTTTATCTCCATAAATTAGAGCTGGAGTTCTGGAGAGAGAGATCAGTTAAGAGTACTTGCTGCTCTTGCAGAGGACCCATTTTTTTCCTCAGCATGAATGGGTACCTTGTAATCATCCATAATTCCTGTTCCAGGGGTTCTGATGCCTTCATCCCAGCTCCATGGATCCCAAGTACTATGTAGTGCACAGACATTAAGCACAGGCCAAACACTTACATACATAAAAATGAATGGATTTTAAAAATAACAAGCTGGAGAAACTGCATCTTTGCTGTGTTCTTTCAAAGGCTCGTAACACACAACAGGCTTGTGACCCTAAGTATTCACCATGATAGAGTCACAACACTTGATTTATCTCAACTTGGAGCTCCTCGATTCTCTTCTTCCTCACAGAGGCGTGTAAGACGTGTATGGTGCGCCCTCCCATACCTGACACCATAGAATTGTCTAATCTGTCTCAGAGTGTTCCAGTTAGCAGCAATAACCACAGTGGTGTTGCTGTTGAAAACCAATAACAAAAATGAGACACAGAGAGACTGGGGACAGCATTGCTCTGGTTGTATTATATAGGGGGCCTGAGCTGTATGCAGGACAGTTCTATCAGCTGTGTGTGTCTGTTTGCCTGGTTTGGCAGAGATTTCAAAAGCAATGAGTGGTTTGGTTTGTTTTAAACCTCTGAAAACCTGGTTGGACAAAATTACAACCAGCTCTTGAGCATTTTTCTTCTTAATTCTATATTCTTCTCAGAGCTACTTATTATTATTATTTTTTAATCAGGACCTTTTTTAGACAGACATTTTATATGACATGGGTATATAAAATAAAACACGAACTGATTATAAATCACAGCTATTTTTTTAAAAACAATTCTTCAGTGCATAAGTATTTTACTATCTACCAAAAATGAAAGCAAACTTTTATACTAATGAAATGGACTTCCTTGCTTGTTTTGATGTAAAAAAAGAAAACTCTTGGCTATCGATAGAATACCACGGTGCACAGAATGTCTTCCTCATTTTCAGAGTTGACGAATATCTTGATTTTTGAATCATCGATACTGAATGCAGTGCTTCCCATTAATACATGGTATAAGATGACACAGGTATGTCTGCACTCCTTTCAGAAGTTGCTAGAAATCCTGTCCTAATCCCAAGCTACAGTTCATTGAACTGAAGTCAGTGACTTCACAGCAAGAGTTAAACAAGTATCCAGACATAGTTCAGCACACAGATGCACTAATCGGATTGGAGCATGCTGGAAAAGGATGGCAGAAAACACACCCTGTCCGCTGTAACTAAAGCATTACGCTTCAGTACAGACAGCAAACTGTGTTCAGTGCAACACTGTCATTTACAATCAGGGAAGCCTCAGTCTGAGCCAGGATGCCTCATCTCGGGCATTGTCACTCAATGTACACGTCAGGACAGCATGCGCAGGCAGGACAGGGTGTGCCCACTTCGGAAACAAGGCTGTGGGGAAGCTGCGTAATGTGGCTGACACAAACTCATTGAGTTTTTTTTTTTTACTTGTTTGATTTTGAATTAATTTTGTTTGTTGAGCATTCACAAACTTGTACTGTTTTTCAAAACTTCATGTCTGTGACTGGAAATGGGGTTCTCGCCCACTATTTCAGATTTAGTCTAATTAACTTGAGATTCTTGGTCTTTCTATGCAGTGGAATGTAACAGTGACACTATGTCTAAATGATGTTCCAGCGATTGAAGGGATGATGTCACTTTGAACCGACAGTGATGCTTTAATATCTGAATAACTATGACTTTGGTGGGAGGTTGGATCAGGAGACACCTTGGTTTAATGGAACTTATTTCAGTAGCAGAGTCAAGCCATCTGGCATCCAAACTCTTCCACCTTCTGGTTTCTCTGATCGTGTGAGCGCATGTGTGTTTATGCTTGCCCATGGAGGCCCATGTGATGCCAGAGAGTGGGATTGGGATGTGTTCCATCACTTGTCCACTTTGTATTTGATCCAGCATCTCTCACTGGGCACAGACTGTGCCTTTAGAATGCCTGCCTGGTCAGCAAGCTCCTTGTGTTCACCTCTCTCGGCTTCCCAGTACTGGTATTAGGAGTGCTTATGGCTGTGACAGCTTTTATGTTGGTACTGGGGATCAGAACTCAGGTCATCTGCTTATTTACCAGGCAAATATTTTATCTACCAAGCTGTTTCTCCAGGCCAGGGTTTCTATGATCTTAAATACATGTGTAGATCTTTGATTCTTGGTTTCCTGGTCTAGAAAAGAACTTAGTAACAGAATTGTTACTAAGTACAAAGTTGTTACCATTTCACGTGTGGTACATGTATATGTGCATCTGTGTGTGTGTGTCTTTGTGTGTGTGGTATGTGTTTGTCTATGTTTCTGTCTGTCTGTCAATGTCTATATATTTATGTGTCTGTGTCTGCATATGTAAGTCTGTGTCTGTTGCTATGAACATCAAGCTCAGGTTAGCCCTTAGGAACCAGCAACTCTCCCTGCATCTCATTTTGGCACACACACCTTCTGAAGGCTATGTCCTTCTCTGTCTCATAGCAGGAGAAGCTGATACATGAGTTGGAAGAGGAACGGCACTTGCGGCTGCAGAGTGAGGAGCGGTTGCGGGAGGTGACCCTGGAGTCAGAGCGCAACAGGATCCAGATGCGTGGCCTGCAGCAGCAGTTTTCCAGGTACTGCTCTCCTATGAGCACAGCAGTCCGGAGGTCTACCCCCTCTTGACTTTCTGGGAGACACTTTGTTGCCTTCAGCAAGTGCACAAAGTCAGACCATTCTCTTCACAGTGTGATCAGTCCTCTGGGACTTACTTTGACCTCACAGTTGAAGCTTGTGACAAACTGGTTGTCTTTTCTTCTCTGGTAGCTTCCCTAAGTGATGTTTGTAAAATATCACAAATTATGCTTTTCCCCTTGTAGCTTCAAATTAATGAGACTCAGACTATGATTTATTTATTTAGCTTTGGCAATTACTGGGGGAACCCCTAATCTACTTTTCTAACAGGTGGACTGGCTACCTCCCCAGCTGTGAACCACAAATACTTGCTGTTTAAATTTTCCTGGGCTTTTTCTGCTCCAGCAGTCTGGGATGGGGAGCATTTTACTCTGGCACATGCTACTGGTCCATCACTAATGGTGACCTCCAGTTTTCCAGTCTTCTCCATGATACATTTTTTAACATCCCTCTTTTCTTCCTTCCCTCCCTCCCTCCCCCCCTCCCTCCCTCCCCCCCTTCTTCCCTTCCCTCCCTCCTTCCCCCTTCTTCTCTCTCCTGGTACCTAATGGATCCCCCTTCCTGTAACTCAAACTCCACCTCTTTCTATTCTCTTCTCCCCAGTAGTCACTTAGAGCCTTTTTTATTTAACCAGTGGTTTTAAAGTGGGGAATGAGGTTTGCACAACAAAAGCTGGTTCAGGTGGGAATTTGCTCTTCTTGGGGTACAGATTTTAGCATATGATTTTAGCAGCACCAGACCAGTCTCCAACAGTTGTTTGGTGGGTTTGCCATGGATTAGATTCTGAGGGTCTGCTGTGTCTATGGCCAGCTAGGATAATACGATTTTAATGGTCATCCCAGTACTATTTTAGCATGTGAGTCTAATTATTTGGTATATTCTTACTTTTTTATGAGTAGCCATAAATAAAGAATAATGGGTTTATTTATTTTAAGAAGGTAAGATTACTTTTCAATTCTAGTCATTTACTATAGGGCCAGGTCATGGCACAACTTCTATGTTAAAGTCTATTCCGTGCTAAAAGAGAAAACACCAGTTTGTGCATTAAAGCCCCGAGTCCAGGGTTTATTCACTTCCCTAACTAAAATGGAAAAACTATTTCATTCCACATTTTTATCTGGAGGTCATCCTAGGCTGTGTCATGCTTGGGAAGTTGCCCTACAAGGTCAATGTTCATGAGCGCTGTGGGGGACCTGTATTTCCATCGTGAATCTTTTTATATCTGTTGTTTAATATCTTTATCTCCCTCCCTCTGTCCCTCCCTCTGTCCCTCCCTCACTTACTCCCTCCCTCTTTCCTTCACTCCCTCCCTCTCCCTCCCTTCCTCTCCCTTCCTCCCTCCCTCCCTCTCCCTCCCTCTTTCCCTCCCTCCCTCCCTCTCTCCCTCCCTTCCTTTCTCCTTTCTTCCTTTCCTCCCTCCTTCCCTCCCTCCCTTTCTCCCTTCCTCTCTCACTCCCACCATCTGTGGTGGTATCACACCCTTGGGTGTTAGTCCTTACTTCCCACCTTGTTTGAGACAGGGTCTCTTGTTGCTTTTTCCCTCCTGTGTACAACAGACTAGCTGGCCAGCAGGTTCCTGAAATTCTCTTGAGTCTGCCTCCCATGGAGAGACAAGAATGCAGAGAACTAGGAATGAAGATAGAAGGGCTGTTGTCTGTCTTTACGTGGATTCTGGGGGTTTGACTGCAGGTTCTCACACTTACACAGCAATTGCTTTACCCACAGAGGCATCTCCATAACCCCGCCCCTAAGTTTTTAAATGCATTGTAGAGAGAGAGACCTCAATTCAGCCTTGAGATCCTATTCCTCACTGTGTGTAACACACACTGCAGATGCTCATGTCCTTGGCTTGGGGGCTGCAAAGAACATGGCAGGAAGAAAGTATGACTCATCTGTATTCATTACTGTAATTTAATACACTGTCAAACACATGAAATTACTCAGGTGCTATAGAAAAGCACCAATAAATACTTTAACATTTCCATGACCCACCCCTTAAGCCTCTTATAACCCCTTACCCACAGTTCATCTCTGCATTGTGTGAATTCTCCCTTTCTGTGTAGGAGTGAGTAATAGAAGCTCTCCAGTCCAACGTGAAGCCCTGCTGTGGAATACCTACTATTTTAATGATACAGGAAGGAAGGGGGCAGGGCTCACTCTTTGCGCTATCTAATTGAGATGTCTCTATATTCAAGCTATTGATTTCCATGATGGGCCACAAAAGACACAGTAAATTATTTTCATATGATGCTAGGTGATGCTGGGTCACCAGTTGTAAATCAAATGACAATCCCACATAGATTTGAGTTACACAAGAGTCCGAACTCTATCCTGGGCTGAAAGAGAAGATAATTATATGTACAATAAATAGAGGTTTCTTTCCCAGACTGCTTTTGTGAGGATATTTCCCACTATAATCAGGTTTCTTATGTAGCGCTTAAAGGGCCTTAAAAAGGGTCAACTACAATTACAGTCAGAGAACTGATAGGAGCCACGTGGGGCGGGCATATACGACAGATAATTACATGATCATTTGGGATCATTGAACTATTTTTGATGGCCTTTCACATGTCAAACTTTAGTTTTGAAGGTATGGCTGGTGGTGGTTGTGGCTACAGTTCTGTTCAAGTCCTCAGTGTTGGATATACCTTTGCACATATTTTACAGTGAATGGTCTTCTAATGATTTACATAGTAATCCAAAGTATTATGTTGAGTTTAAAACTTAGAAAGGGATTTATTTTAACTCTGTGTATGTGTCTGTGTGTGGGAATGTGCACGTGAATGCAATGCCTGTGGAGGCCAGAAAAGGACATCGGATCCTCTGGAGCTGGAGTTAGAGACGGTTACAGGATACCTGTTTCAAATGCTGAGAATTGATTTCAGGTCTTCTACGAGAGCCCTCCTTGTGCTTAATTCCAGAGCCCCCTCTCCAACCCTCAAATTTAAAACACGTATATATTCACAATGTTACCTTTTCCCACCATGGATTGACAGTTCCCTTTTTATGTGTTAATTACTGGAGGAATGAAGTTATTCCCAGACACCATGGGCAGATGTTAATTTTTAAATCAAGTTCATGTGCTACCTTCTCAGAGATCTCTATGCTTTATAATGGGAGGTTGATTTATAAGAAGACTGACAAAAGAAATACAGCCTCCCTCATAGAAGCCACACCCTAGATTCTCTCAGAAGATAGAAGGCTTAACAGGTATGCTCATCACAATTTTATTACTTATTAGAGTGCACAGTAGTAAAGATGGGTGTTTTTTCTATCAGTCCTCTCCTGTAGGTAAGGGAGCCCCTCAAATGGTGAGCTCCTAGAAGCAGGGGGTATTGCAGGGCTGCCTCTTGTGTGTGGTTACACACTCAAGGATAGTTCCCACATGTAATGGCAGTTAAGCTGTTGCCTGGTGGGGCACATACATGGCCGAACATATTGTATGAGAGGTTAATGCTGAAGAATCCCTTAATTGTTCTCACCCTCTCTGCTCTTTTAGCTATTTGCTCAATAGGTGCTTATGTAGTTAGCCAAGCTTAGAGGCATAGACAGAGCTTAGGGCAGACATTCTCCTAGATAAAGGTGGTGATGGGCTAAGGCCCAGCCTCCTCAACTCCAATTAATGACGTGTTTGCTCCTCGATAGGCTCACCTGGAGGAGTGTGTGCAGGGCCATTTTCTCCAATGGGTGTGTGTAGTACCTTTCAATATGGGGCTTTTTTTTTTTTTTTGAGGAAGCAATTCATGAAGAAAGCAGAAAGTCCATAGAGTACTGATATCAAACAAAGCCACACATGATTTGCTCATCAGACTTGATTCCTTAGGAAACAATCTAGTGAATAAATAAATTGTTCCTGAAAGCTCTTGTGTGTTCTCTCTCTCTCTCTCTCTCTCTCTCTCTCTCTCTCTCTCTCTCTCT